ACTGCTATCTTTGTGTCTAGCTACTATATTAAGCCGATTTCAGATCATTTTCTACAAATGTCCCCTGCTTACCCCTGGAGTCTTCGAGAGCGTTTTCACCAAAAAGTCGATAGAAGGGCCGTTCCAACACAGTGAGGAGAACGTTGGCATCAAAACCAGTGCGGTCGGGAAAGATGACTGCCTGCTCGGTCACCCCAAAAGCCAGCAGAAAGATTAGGAAAAACGGTAGGAACGCAATCAGCTGCCATGTCATCTGTCCAATCATGGTGACTTTGGGACCAAGAATTACGCTCACGTAGCAGTATAGAAGCAGTTCCACCGCAAATAGCGCAACTTGAATGGAAAGTAAACATAAAATTGGCTTACAACAGTGAAAAATACCCATAACCTTTGCATTCGCAAGAAGTCATTATAAAATAAAGAACTCGAAGGTGGAAAAGTAGCCAACAATGGCATGTATGCTCTGTGCTAACAAGCGACCAGGCAAGATGGACAACTAAAAGAAGACGAAGGCGTGATCACTGGGGCGGTAGATTTATTAGCCTGAGCTTTCGAACTCGAACTGGAATTCATCATCAGAGTATGTTAGAGTGCAGCAGTCTGATGATGAACTCCAGTTCGAGTTCGAAAGCTCAGATCAGTAAATCTACCGTTCCAGTGATTTTGCCTTCGTCTTCTTTTAAACAAGAACCTGGGATGCACATATTCTTTTGCATTTGTGAGATGGACAACTGTTTGCACTAAAAATTCCGCCTAATACTAACCGCTTTTTTAAGCCAAGAAGGCCATAGTAATCAACTTAAAATACCAGGTGGAAATTGGCTCACACTGAATTAGCATAGATCGATCGTTAGGGGTTTCCGAGTGAAAAGGGTTTTCCATTTTATCCTCGAAATGCCGGTCCAGAGCTCATAGGACGAAAGTACTTGTCTAGCGTCTGATTTAATAACCAGCAGCTCTGTCCGAGCCCTGGGTTCACTTTCAGCCAGAGGCTTGAGTATGGCTAGCTGACTGTGGAACATAAGTCATATATGAACAGTCCAATCTCATCTGTCTTTGTTGTTAATACGTCTTAGATACTTAGGTTTCAAGGAATTAAGAAAGTGCATAACCACTAAATTGCATGTTCCGGAAGAAGAAAAGGAAGCCTTTTCGTAAGTGCATAAAATCACTCGAGAATAACTCTTACGAACTATTACGGCCACTGAATACGAATATGTGAAAGTCCTTGTGCCCCATATTCGCAGGAACATGTAAACGATGGCAACGCTCGCCGACAAGCACTGAATCCAAGCCCATTGAAATCCGGCGATCAGCTAAAAAAGTTTAAACGCAACGACAACCTTTATCTTTTTATTTACTATGAGCAAGAAATCGCATTTTTGAACTAATTTTTACAATGAGGGAGGTGCATGCAGAAGACAGTGCGTGCATTTAACTGTAACCTCCAGAGAAATCTGTCGGCAGGGGAAAAGGTAAATGGGTGCAAGAACATTACGACTGCCACCTTAAAAACTCATCTATGCGCAAAAAATAATGAGATCTGCTAAATGCAACTTCGAATGTGCTGCTTTGTTTGGACGGATTTATTCTTTGCAAA